GGAGGAGGAGGAGGAGGAGGAGGAGGAGGAGGAGGAGGAGAAAAGAAGAAGAGGGGGAGGAGGAAGAGGAGGAGGAGAAAAGAAGGAGGAGAAGGCACTGACTTGAAGGCACATCGTGGATCAACAAATGATGAAGATGAGCTGCAGGAAGAACCTAGCTAAACATTCTCCACGTCTTCCAAGGTTCCGTTCTCCTGCTCTTTCATCATAGCAGAATGCTTGGCCAACCATTTCTCCCACTAGATTTTTGGTGGCCCTCAACCATCTTTACCTAGCGCTCTTCCCAGTCCCTCAAGAAGGACCTACTTCTCCACAGCTACAGCCTGCAACCATCATGGGCACTTACCTTCATCCCCACCAAATTGTTGTGGAAGTCCACCTGAGCTCTCAGATCCTTGTTGGACTTCTTCCCAAGGAACTCTTTGACAAACTTGTTGCTGTATTTGAGATTGTCCCCACATCCGCCCCACTGCCATGCTTCGCGGTTCTCCAGGTCAGGGGCCTCGTCGCAAGTGCAGCGCTCCATACGTCCGGCGCTGCAGGCTTTGGCCATGGCGTGGGTCAGCCCCGCCGAAGAGATGGCGTAAAGGAAGGCAGTTTCCTTAAACCCTGAGGAGGAAGACGACAACGCTGTTAGCACATCGAAGTTCTCTCTTAGAGCGGTACTGCCCAGGTCTGACCATTTTGAGATGGGTGGACTTCAACTCCCAGAATTCCCCAGCCAGCAAGCTTTAAGATGGATGGACTTCAACTCCCAGAATTCCCTAGCAAGCATGCTTGGAGATGGGTGGACTTCAACTCCCAGAATTCCTCAGCCAGCATGCTTTAAGATGGATGGACTTCAACTCCCAGAATTCCCTAGCAAGCATGCTTGGAGATGGGTGGACTTCAACTCCCAGAATTCCTCAGCCAGCATGCTTTAAGAAGGATGGATTTCAACTCCCAGAATTCCCCAAGTCAGCAAGCTTGAAGATGGGTGGACTTCCACACCCAGAATTCCCCAGCCAGCATGCTTTAAGATGGGTGGACGTCAACTCCCAGAATCCCCCAACCAGTATGCGAAGATGGATGGACTTCAACTCCCAGAATTCCTCAGCAAGCATGTTTGAGCATGAGTGGACTTCAACTCCCAGAATTCCTCAGCAAGCATGCTTGGAGATGGATGGACTTCAACTCCCAGAATTCCCCAGTCAGCATGTTTGAAGATGGGTGGACTTCCAGAATTCCTCAACAAGCATCCTTGGAGATGGATGGACTTAAACTCCCAGAATTCCTCAGCAAGCATGCTTGGAGGTAGGTTGACTTCATCTGCCAGAATTCCCCAGTCAGCATGTTTGAAGATGGGTGGACTTCAAGTCCCAGAATTCCTAAGCCAGCATGCTTGAACATGAGTGGACTTCAACTCCCAGAATTCCTCAGCAAGTATGCTTTAAGACGGGTGCACTTCAACTCCCAGAATTCCTCAGCTAGTATGCTTGGAGAGGGTGGACTTCAGCTCCCAGAATTCCTCAGCCATCATGCTTGAAGATGGATTTAACTTCGACTCCCAGAATTCCCCAGCCAGGATGTTTTAAGACAGGTGGACTTCAACTCCCAGAATTCCCATTTGAAGTCCACATATCTTAAAGTAGCCATGGTCAAGAAACAGTTGATTACAGAGAGTCCTCATCAAACGACTGTAATCAAGTCCTCCCACTACAGTCATTTTTCGTAGCAGTCCCGAAACAGGTTGGTCACCTAAGCGACCAAAAACTTGTAACCTTTTTGTAGCAGTCGTTAAGCGAACACACGGTGGTTAGGTGAAACAAAGGGTACAGTTTTGCTGAAAATTAGAAGTAAGTGACAATTTTCAGCAAGACCATCGTAAAATGCAGTCCCTTGACCGCGGGATGTTATAAACGGCTGAGGATATGGCTGTGTTATCAAGTACACAAAGTTCAGTCACGGGACTGCAGAAGGGGCCCAACCTTCTGAATTTCGAATCCAGGTCGTAAATCCCCTTTTGGGGGTTGGTCATAACCAGTCACTAAATGAACGGTTGTAAGTCAAGGAATATCAGAAAGACACACACACCCCCTCACTTCTAGCACTGATGATGCTACCTAGTTGGGCCATGAAACATCTGCAAGAAAACAATTAATTTCAGATAACACCAAGGACCCCACAGTCCTCCTCCTCCTCTTCCTCCTCCTCTTCCTCCTCCTCCTCCTCCTCCTCCTCCTCCTCCCTGCAAACATTATACCCCTTCAAGCACTGATAGTGTTCCCTAGTTGGGTCATGAAAGATCTGCAACAAAACCACCAAGCTGTGAGATCACCCTACATTCCTCCTCCTCCTCCTCCTCCTCCTCCTCCTCCTCTTCCTCTTCCTCTGGTTGTAAGTAGAGGACTCCCACTAACCTCTCTTCAGCAGGCTGGCCCTGTAGCGCCCCTCCAGGGTGCAATTCCACCTCTCGAAGCGGAACTGATATTGGCATTCCAGCGCACTCATGCTAATGGCTTCCATGAGGGTCTCGGCCACGCCGGGGTCTCTGCGGCACATCCGACGCTGCTTCTTTTCCAGCTTCAGACGGTCGCACACTTTGTAGTGGGCTTTGATGGCGGCTTCCTCCATCTCTGTGGTGAGAGGGAGGATGGTCAGGGGCTCATTGCCCGTCAACCTGGCGGGGGAGAGAAAGGGAAGTGGGCTGAATCAACAAAAGAGCGTGTCTGAGTCAGATGGGCCAATCTCGCAAAGTCTTATTTATTTACTTATCTATCCCGCCTTTATTACTTTTATCAATAAGGCAAGGGGACGTATTTAATCCTCCATCCTCCTCCAATTTTCCCAACAACGATAACCCCGTAAGCCAGGCTGGGCCGAAAAAAATTGATTTACCCCAAGTCGCCCAGCTGACTTTCAGACCGAAGGCAGGATTAGAACTCACCGCCTCCTGGGGATCGGGCCCAAAGTCACCCAGCCAGCTTTCATGTCTAAGATGGAACTAGAACTCACCATCTCCTAATGATTGGCCCAAAGTTTCTCCTGGGGATTGGCCTAATGTTAGCCCATTGGCTTTCACACCTAAGGTAGGATTAGAACTCACCATCTCCTGGTAATTGGCCCAAAATCACCCAGCCGGATTTCATATCTAAGGCAGAACTAGAACTCACCGTCTCTTAGTGATTGGCCCAAAGTCACTTAGCCAGCTTTCATTTCTAAGGGGGAACTAGAACTCACCCTCTCCTGGTGATTGGCCTAATGTTAGCCCGTTGGCTTTCATGCCTAAGGCAAGACTAGAATTCACCGCCTCCTGGTAATTGGCCCAAAGTCATCCAACTGGTTTTCATGCCTATGGTGGAACTAGAAGTTGCCATAGTAACTGTGAGAGGGACCTCAGAGTCCTAGTGGACAATCCCTTAAATAGGAGCCAGCCGTGTGCTGCAGCTGCCAAAATAGCCAACACAGTGTTGGGCTGCATTAACAGAGGGATAGAATCAAGATCACGTGAAGTGTTAATACCACTTTACAATGCCTTGGTAAGGCCACACTTGGAATATTGCATCCAGTTTTGGTCACCACGATGTAAAAAAGATGTTGAGACTCTGGAAAGGGTGCAGAGAAGAGCAATAAAGATGATTAGGGGACTGGAGGCTAAAGCATATAAGGAACGGTGGCTGGAATTGGGTATGTCTGGTTTTATGAAGAGAAGGACGAGGGGGGACATGATAGCAGTGTTCCAGTATCCCAGGGGCTGCCCCAAAGAAGAAGGAGTCAAGCTATTCTCCAAAGCGCCTGAAGGCAGGACAAGAAGCAACGGGTGGAAACTAATCAAGGAGAGAAGCAATCTAGAACTAAGGAGAAACTTCCTGACAGTTAGAACAATTAACCAGCGGAACAACCTGCCTCCAGAAGCGGTGAATGCTCCAACACTGGAAGTTTTTAAGAAGAGACTGGACAGCCATTTGTCCAAAATGGTATAGGGTTTCCTGCCTGAGCAGGGGGTTGGACTAGATGACCTCCAAGGTCCCTTCCAACTTCATCATCATCATCATCATCATCATCATCATCATCATCATCATCATCATCATCATCATCATTATTATTATTATTATTATTATTTAGCCAGGACTAGAACTCTCTCTTTTGCCTTCACCCTCTTTTGCGATCACAGACATTTTAAAAAATGCTAATTTAGGAAGATCAGCCTCTTTTTCGTCTGCCCGCTGTAGCTGCGATCTCTTTCTAGCCTAAAACTTGCTACTCTTTGCTCATCTCTTGAGTGCTGAAAGATAATTCATTCGCAAACAGCTGTAATTGCAGCCCAGTTGCCAAATGCCCAAAATGTGATCACATGACCATCGGGGGAAGGAGAGAGGCCATCATAAATTCGGGACCTGTCGTAACAGGAGGACTACAGTTAACAATTTCCTGCAGCAAGGAAGCTTCAAAACCAATGCATCGTGTTTATCCGCCGCCAGATACCAATAGCACTTAGACTTATATACCGCTTCACAATGCTTTACAGCCCTCTCTAAGCAGTTTACAGAGTCAGCATCCTGCACCACCACCCCAACAATTTGGGTCCTCATTTTACTGACCTCGGAAGGATGGAAGGCTGAGTCAACTTTGAACTCCTGGCTATGGGCAGAGTTTGCCTGCAATACTGTATTCTAACCACTTCAACACCACAGAAGGAAGGAAGGAAGGAAGGAAGGAAGGAAGGAGGGNATTTTTAGAGGGGTTTTAAAAGCAATTTTAATAATTAATAAGGCCAAATTTAATATTTTATTTTAACTTTGTTTTAATGATAGTTTTTGGGGTATTTCTGTAGTTGTTTTTATCAGGCTGTCAGCCGCCCTGAGTCCGCAAGGAGAAGGGCGGGGTAAAAATTCAATTAATAAATAAATAAATAAATAAATAAATAAATAACAGAGTTGGAAGAGACCTTGGAGGTCATCTAGTCCAACCCCTGCTCAGGCAGGAAACCCTGTACCATTTCAGACGAATGGCTGTCCAGTCTCTTCTTAAAAACCTCCAGTATTGGAGCATTCACCACTTCTGGAGGCAGGTGGTTCCACTGTGCAATTATTCTCACTAACAGGAAGTTTCTCCTTAGTTCTAGGTTGCTTCTCTCCTTGATTAGTTTCCATCTGTTGCTTCTTGTCCTGCCTTCAGGCGCTTTGGAGAATAGCTTGACTCCCTCTTCTTTGGGGCAGCCCCTGAGATACTGGAAGGCTGCTATCCTGTCACCCCTCGTCCTTCTCTTTGTTAAACTAGACATACCCAATTCCAGCAGCTGTTCCTTATATGTTTTAGCCTCCAGTCCCCTGATCATCTTTCTTGCTCTTCTCTGTACTCTTTCTAGAGTCTCAACATCTTTTTTACATCGTGGTGACCAAAACTGGATGCCGTATTCCAAGTGTGGCCTTACCAAGGCCTTGTAAAGTGATATTAACGCTTCACCTGATCTTGATTCCATCCCTCTGTTAATATAGACTAGAATTGCATTGGCTTTTTTGGCAGCTGCAGCACACGGCTGGCTCATATTCAAGGGATTGTCCACTAGGACTCCGAGATCTCTCTTGCAGTTCCTGCTATTGAGCCAAGCTTCACCTCGTCTTGGCTCAACAGCTGTAACTGTGAGAGGGCTCTTGATGTCCCTAGAGGACAATCACTTGACTAGGAGCCAGCCGTGTGCTGCATTTCTGAATGTTCTAACCCAAGATCACTTGAAGTGTTAATACCACTTTACAAGGCCTTGGTAAGGCCACACTTGGAATACTGCATCCAGTTTTGGTCACCACGATGTAAAAAAGATGCTGAGACTCTAGAAAGAGTACAGAGAAGAGCAACAAAGATGATTAGGGGACTGGAGGCTAAAACATATAAGGAACGGTTGCTGGAATTGGGCATGTCTAGTTTAATGAAGAGAAGGACGAGGGGGGACATGATAACAGTCTTCCAGTATCTCAGGGGCTGCCCCAAAGAAGAGGGAGTCAAGCTATTTTCCAAGGCGCCTGAAGGCAGGACAAGAAGCAACGGATGGAAACTAACCAAGGAGAGAAGCAACCTAGAACTAAGGAGAAACTTCCTGACAGTTAGAACAATTAACCAGTGGAACAACCTGCCTCCAGAAGCTGTGAATGCTCCAACAATGGAGGTTTTTAAGAAGAGACTGGACAGCCATTTGTCTGAAATGGTATAGGGTTTCCTGCCTGAGCAGGGGGTTGGACTAGATGACCTCCAAGGTCCCTTCCAACTTTATTATTATTATTATTATTATTATTATTATTATTATTATTATTATTATTATTATTATTATTATTATTATTATTATTATTATTATTATTAACTCTTCTCCATGGTTTAAGACTTTAGTCCGGGGTGTTTGGGGCCTCCGGACTCCTTTTACGCAACGGAAAGCAAGAATGAGGAGAAAAAAAAGGGCAATTGAGGTCAGAATTTGCCAGCCACCGAGTTCCTTTCCTCAGTCTTGGCACAAGGGCGGTCAGGAGTCTCCAGCCGAAGCACCAGCCAAGGACAACAGTTCTCCTTGTGATCCAATCCAAGCTTCCCACCCAAGGATTCCTTCAGACAGCAGCTGTGGGTCAGGGCAAGACCCACACAAGAGCAGCAGAGTCCCTTGGCTGCAGGGACGGCAACAGTTTGTTGGTTTTTCATCCACCACCCCGTCGTCCTGAATTCGCTCCCTCCGATTTCAACACCAGCGGCGCAACTTTAGAAAAACAAAACAGATCAGCCGGCAAGGGAATCTGGACAGATTGTTCTCTGAGGTTCATCGGCAAGGCTGGCCTTGCAAAGTGATCTTGTAAAAGGTGCCTGCCAGGGCTTCTCAATTTTCGGGGCAGCTGGAAGACGGGAGGGCTTCCACTCCCAGAATTCGGCAGCCAGCCACGCTAGACAACACCCAGAGATTGATAGAGAGAGGAGGGGAAGAGAGAGGGGAGGGAGGTGGATAACAAATTAGAGAGAGAGATAAAGTAACAGGTAAATGAGAGAGAGAGAGGGGGGGGGAGAGAGGGAGAGAATATACAGACCAGATAATTGGTAGGATATATAGATAGATAGATAGATAGATAGATAGATAGATAGATAGATAGATAGATAGATAGATAGATAGATAGATAGATAGATAGATAGATAGACAGACAGACAGACAGACAGACAGACAGACAGACAGACAGACAGACAGACAGACAGANGAAGGAAGGAATAGCAATAGCACTTAGACTTATATACCGCTTCACAGTGCTTTACAGCCCTCTCTAAGCTGTTTATAGAGTCAGCATATTGCCCCCAGCAATCTGGGTTCTCATTTTACCGATCTCGGAAGGATGGAAGGCTGAGTCAACTTTGAGCTGGTCAGGATCGAACTGCCAAACTGCTGGCAGCTGGCAGTCAGCAGAATTAGCCTGCAATACTGCACTCTAACCACTGCTCATATGGTATTCTGAAGAAAGGATCCACATTTGTGGTCCCTGTAAACGGCATTTCTAGGAGGTTGGAGCTTCCACGAACCCCACTTTTTGCGATGGGCAGACGACCAAGTCACCTGGCAGACGCAGAGGTCCCAAGCCAATGACGACAACCAAGTTAGATGGTTTTAAGAAGTAGAGAGGATCAGTTCTCAGAGGAGCTAGTTACTCCTG